GCATACAAAATTTTTGCACATGTTAATAATAAAAATAAAATGTCTTACCTGTCATAATAAATTCTGGATATTTATGTTGACCACTGTATAAAAAGATTATGAATTTTAGTAATATCATATCATCTAAAATTATCAACTATGTGTGATCATTATGTGTCTAAAAATTAACGTTAATATATTATCAAAAATATGCTCGCATGTTCTAAATACATGTACATTTACATGTACATGTATATACTCAATCTAGATAAGTAATATTTTGTGTAATTCATCATATAATAAAAATAAATTCTAATGAATTTTTCTCATATGGATTTTTACAGTCATAATCGCATTATAAACCAATTATTTTGAATCTTCTTTGGAAGCCATATTATATGCACTATAAACTTCTTAAATAATGTAGTATTCATTTTCATATAGTTATATTATATAAAAAATTATGTTAAAATACTACTGCCAAAAATAATACAAAAAATACCCATAAATTTACTATACTAATAATATCTTTTTAAACACTTTTGCTCATCCATTCCTAGCGTCATTCAAGCAGGAATAATGGAATTCTTCATGTAATCGATCGAATATTGATATTGTGTCAATCAGAAGGTCATACGATTAAATCATGCATAAAAATTTCCATGACCTTCTGTTATCGAGTTGAACGAACGTTCTCACTTATATAATTACACGGAATTCGTAACACCACTTTTTATTTTCTTTAACCTTCTGTTATTGGGTTGAACGAATGTTATTACCTATATAATTACACGGAATTCGTAACACCGCTTTTTAGTTTCTTTGACCTTCTGTTTATCGGGCTGAAGGAACGTTATCACTTATATAATTACATGGAATCCGTAACACTGCTTCTTATTGGGTTGAAACGAATGTTATCACTTATATAATTACACAGAATTTGTAACACTATTCTTTATATGGAATTGTGATCCACATTTTTCCCATATTTGTCAATAAACGGTGGTATCGCAAAAATATGACTCTATTTTTGTACGAAACCTGTGTATGCGTCAAGAAAAATTAACTTTATTTAACGGAATTTTTCGGAAAAGATGAGATGAAAAATAGATGAGAGTTTCTTTTGTATTTAAAATCAATAACATCGTGCATACGAAATATGTATAAAAAATAGCGTATATTGTACTCTGTGTAGATACGATCAAAATTTTTGATATTAACGAAAGTTTAAAGCATGGCCTCCCACGAAATCGTCGAAGTTGTAGGATCGCCAAAAGTCACTGACGATATAGGATCACCAAAAATCGTCGAAGTTGTAGAATCACCAACCGTGAACCACGGCTTTTCCCTACGGCGCAATTCTTTACTCTATATTCGTTCATCCATCAAAGAGAGAACCTTGTATATAAAAGAGAATGTATCTATATCGGAATTAAGTGGCAGTCTTGGCGATTTAGGCACCTTACTTCCAATATTAGTAGCCCTTTCAATTACCGGACAAGTTTCTTTGACTTCGTCGCTTATATTCGGAGGTCTGTGGAATATCCTTAGTGGTTTGATATTTCGAATCCCCATGTGTGTTCAACCTATGAAAGGTAATAAATTTATTTTTGTTATCTTTACCTTTTTTTTTAAAAAAATATTAATAATATCTATAAAATAGCTGTTGCAGCTGTGGCAATCTCGGCACATTTATCAATAGGTGAAGTCATGTCGGCAGGAATTGGTGTTGGGGTTATGATATTTTTTCTTGGCATCACTAGAACCATTAAATTCATCGAAAAGTGGACACCCGTTCCAATAATCAGAGGTATTCAATTGGGAGCAGGCTTAACGCTAATCATAAAAGCTGCTTCTCTGGTTCAAATAAATGGTAGTTGGGGTGGTGGCTCTTGGAAATGGAATGATAATTATGAATGGGCTATTCTATCGTTCATATTCGTATTTTTATTTTATTCATATAAAAGAATGCCGACCGCATTAATTCTATTCATTTTTGGGCTAGTAATCGCCCTTATAAAAGTCTTTAGTTCTAATAGTAAATTACCATCAATCTCATTGAATCATCCTGAAACTGTTGTCCCAACGCTAGAAGAATTTAAAACCGGATTTCTTAATGCATCTCTTGGCCAACTTCCACTGACAGCGCTCAATTCTGTTATCGCATTGGCGGCATTAGCTGATGATTTGTTCCCGGAACGGTCCTCATTGAACACCGTTGAAAGAATTTCAATCTCCATCGGACTTATGAACGTAGTTGGATGTTTTTTCGGCTCTATCCCGTATTGTCATGGATCAGGCGGACTGGCTGGACAATACCGTTTTGGCGCAAGATCCGAAGTTAGCATTTTGATTCTTGGATTCTTTAAATTAATCCTGGGGATATTATTTGGAAACACTTTAACCAAACTTCTAGGTTCCTTCCCTAATTCAATTCTTGGTGTAATGCTATTTGTTTCTGGTGCGGAATTATCATCTGCAGCTCGAAGTTTCATGAACACTTTTGATAAGCGTGATGATGATGAGGCAAGAAAGAAGAATTTTCTTCTAGTGATCGTAACAGCTGGATTATTGGTCGGCTTCCAAAATGATGGAATTGGCTATGTTGGTGGTATGCTGGTTAGCCTTTTGCTTTATATTACTCGCTTTTTGATTCCAGGAAATATAAGTATATGAAAATCCAAAATTTACATTTAATAAAAAACTTTATTATATGGTGTCAAATTTATTACAAATGCAGAATTTGAATAAAATAGTGATGATTTTACAATTTGCACTTATTACAGAACACTAATTAAATAAATGAAGAGAATTGCTATTTTCATCATGTTTATTTCATTTGATATTAAATTGCTGGATATTTCATGTAAAGTCTCTTTGAGAATCAACAAATTAAGTATAAAGTCCACAATTTTATTCATCATTTAAGTCTTAAAATATTGACTCTTAAATATGGAATTTTTATTTATTTTTATTAAATAATTTTATATATAGCTTCTTTTAAATATAAATATCTTGAGATTCAATAATAAAAATTAAGTATAAGTTTCAGATAAATGAAATAAAGAAGTTTACACTTGATTTTTATTATTAATCTTGAGATTTTGTATTTAAAGAAACTATATATAAAATTTTGGTTTATTTTTACATCAGTAAATTTGATAGATATCAAATTAGTAGTAATCAGTAAATATGCTGATTATTACTAATTTTTTGGTTATACCAATCCAAAATCTGTGCAGAACTCTAAAAATAGAAATTTCAGAGAAGTGTAATCCAAAGAATCTATAATGATTAGCATAATTACAGATTATTACAGTTCTTTGAACATAAGTTAAATAGATAAATAATAAATACCATAAATTACTGTATAGAATACCTGGATCTAAATCAATTTTGATATTAATAAATGCTTGTATATTCTGATAGATACTGTGTATGATAGTAAGTACACAAAAGAGAGGATATACAAGAGGATAATATAAGAAAATCACATGTTAAATTTAGATTACAAAGATATATCTAATGATTTATTTGGATATATTCAATAATTTATCTTTTTTTGACATGTTTGATGATTTTTTTTTGACATATTTAATGATTAATTTTTTCTTTTAATATCTTTAATATATTTAATACTTTTTTTGGTAAATATATGAACTAATAAAAAGTTTACCCAAGCCTGAATTAATCAAAAAAAGAAATATTATTGGAATGCATAAGAAAAGCTTATAATTTTAATCTATCTTGAAAAGTAATTCACACAAAGTATTCATACTATGACAACTATATTTAATATTGAGTTCAAGCAAATCTGTAATTGATATAAAAAAAAGATCTTTTGCAAGCTTCTCCATATGTAAAATTGTTAAATATTGGTCAGTCAGAAAAATATTCTTTATTAAAAAATGAATTGAACAAGTAGATTAAGCAACTTAGTCAAGAATAAAAATCAGTATCATGATATTTGATTCAATTACACACAAAAGATTTGACAAAAAAATTCAAATATATTAGTATCTATTTAGATATTAATAATTTTATATTTTTCAATAAATGGCTTGATGAATTTATAAATTATCACAATTTCAGTCTTCAGTATCATACTATAATAGTATAACATTTATCTTATAATCTTATTAAAAAATAACAAGAGTTTCTCAGCTTTGTTCTTCATAAAAGAATATTATATAACTTTTCTCTCAATCTAATCAGTAATATAAATGAAACTCTTTTATCTTTTGACTTGTTATTCAATAGCATTATTGATAAAATAGATATATATATAGTATTAATTTAAATATGTGAATATAAAAAATTATACTTTACTATTATACTAGTATATATAACAAATGGAACAAAATTATCTTTAATAATAATTTTTAAATTATCAAAAGTATCACAGCAAGAATTTTCTTCAAATATAATTATAAAAGCAAATCCAACAGGCTGAATAAATAAAGAAGAGATGATTTTTTAGATTAAAAATATATAGAATCAGCATACAAAATTTTTAATTGATTCTTATTCTCTTTTGGTTTTGAATTCTTTTTTAAGTTATATTATTAATTTAATTATTTGTCATTTTAGAAAAAAAATATAATTATTACTATCATTTCTGATGGATTAACTTCTAAAATTCAATCTTTGGATAATTCTATCAATAAATCATTTAAAGTAAAGGTAACTATTTATAAATTAAATATATATTATATAAAATTATACAAATTCATTTAAATTTATTTATAGATTTATTATTATTATAATAAATAGATATCTAATAGTATAAAAACTATATTAAAACTAGTTGAATTCAATACTTATTTTATAATTTAATTATCTAATAAATTTATAATATATAGAATTGAGTTGATTTCTTTCTTATTCAAAAATCTTTCAAATTTTGTGATACTTCAAATTCTCAAGATAGAAAAGAAGATCAATTAATTTTTGATTATGAATGAGTTGGATTATGAAATCAAGAATCTTTTGATATAATTACTGAATTTAGTAATAATAATAATGAAGAATCTAGCAAAGATGAAAAAAATTCTATTAATAAATTTTTAAATCAGAAAAAAATATAGAAAATAACCAAAAAAATAAGTTTTATAAAGCTAACCAACTTAGTTATATTAATAATTAGAATTAATAATTAGATTTTTTAATTTTCTTTATTAATACAAGTTTAAATAAATTCAAATTTTTACTAAGATATAATATAAATCTGGATCTTAATCAATTTTTTGGAATGATATCTTTAATATATACCTAGGTATAATATATAAGAGATATTTTTTTAGAGAGATATTCTATATAATAATTTATAATAGATTAATTATATATATTATTTATTTTTTTCTTTAAAGTTTATAACAGATATAAATTTGACTTTAAAATTCTTTGTCTATTTATTTTTTAAAATATATATTTATTTAATAAAAAAAGATTTTTTTTGTCAAATCTTAATATAATATGTATCTTTTAATTTATAAATTCTATTAAAATTATATTATACTCTTTGATATAGTATAAATAAGAGCAACCATACTTTTCTGACTTATTTAACATAATATTATATCAATAAATTATAGCAAGATTATATAGATTCTTTACTAATTCTCAAAAAAATTATAAAAATATCTTTTAGAAGAAAATACAAAGATTAATTCATTCAAAATTGCTAAATTTGAAATTATATTTTACTATTCTTTAAATAATATTTATCTTTTTATATCAAGTATCTTTATCAAATTTATAATAACTTTAATTTTTAGCTAAAGTTACTATAATATTACTAAATTATTCTTTGTCATGAAAATTTTTAGATATTCTCAGAATTTTGTTACTTTCTAAATAAATTATATTATAAACTTTTATATAAAAATCTTCACTTTCAGACTCTTATGATATTATATTAAAAAATATATCTAATATAATAATTATATATAATAATTCTTCAATAAAGTTTAAATATAATAAACTCTTCAAATTCTTTAATAAAATAACTTTTACTTTAATAATATTCAAAAATAATTCTCATAATATTATTACTATAGTAGTATAAAGATTCTTAGTTTCTTAATCTTTTCATAATTATGCAAAATTATATTTTCTTATAATTTTTATTTATTTCATAATTATTTCTTATTACTATATTTATTATTGCACTTCTATATTTAAACATTATATTTTATTTATATTTGGGATCTACAGTTTTATATTACTTATAATATAATACTCATATATATAATAAAGCAGTATAGTAAAAGATCATTTTTAATTTTGATAAAATGATTACGTGTTAATTACAGATAACTTTCTATAACTTCTAATAACTTTTTATAACTTTTTACAACTTCTGATAACTTTTCACAACTTCTGATAACTGTTCATATCTTTTCACATATTCTAATAACTTTTTATATCTTTTAATAACTTTTGACATTTTTTAATATATACATTTCTAAAATTTATACTATAGTACTTTAAATTATAATATATATATTAGATAGTATTGTTATGACGAATCAGTAAGTGGGTTTTCACTTTGATTCACCCTAATGATATAGGGTTAGGAAAGACTGAAATAATTAAAGGTAAAGAGAGGGGAATTAGACTATAACTTTCAATAATGACAAAGGTTTCTAAGGCCTGT